TCTGTTGGATTGCTTTTAAGCGATTAGGAATATATTCGTAACTTCGTAAGGTCGTCAAAGTATTTGCAATTGCAAAACACTCGGTTGATAAGGTATTTGAATTCTGTCTGCTCCCTAAGATTCAAGGGAGCTGATTCCTTTTATAGGATTAAAAGGAATCACGTGCATTAGCTAACTAATAAGCCTACTTGTCAAGTTGGAGTCTTTTAACTGTTAATATACTAAGCGAGGCATGCTAAATGGCCCGTGAACTATAGTTCACGAGTGAGCTTCCTTAACTACTACTACTAGCTAGCTAAGGTCGATATAGATATACCGACACCGGCAATTCTTTTTTTAGCAAGCAGTGCTTTGCTAACTATTATATCGACCGAAAAAGAAAAGAAGGTAATTAAATAAAAGAAAAACAATCTCATCCTTTTTTCTCTTACAGCAGCTTTTTTACTTATCTATTTACTTGCACCTTTAAGGTATTGGTCAAAACTAGCTCTTGCAAAAAGGTATTAGCGCCGATTTTGATTATGGCGTTAGCAGGGTTAGATTTGCTTCCGATTTAGCGTACTTTAAAAAGCTCTTGCTTTTCGTATAACTTTCGAATAGCTATAATATCGATTATAAGGCGCTTCTTTTTAATAGTTCTTAGCTTTATTATACACTCGTATAACGAGTAAGAGTTAGTGCACACAATTACGAGGAAATTAAGAATTCTTAGCTAAGTTATGATTTGAGCAAAAGTAGTCGACATAGCAATAGCTATATCGATACTTAAAGACATAGCGTATAGCTCGAAGGCTAATACTGCTTTTATTATTCTCTTGTACTTTTGTAACATTTAATAAAAGATATTACTCGTTAAAGTGAACTCGTTTTCACTTACGTAAGCTTTATTATTAAAGATAGCTACGAAATCGATTTAAAAGCTAAAGTTAGCGTTGTTAGCAAACGCTTTATCTACGAATACAAAGAGCTTCGTTATTTTTAAGTCTAAAAGCACGTAATAGATCTTTCGTATTAAGTGTGTGACGAACTGATGAATTCTGACCTTAGAATACCAGGGCAGAGGACCAAGTTCTCTGTAGTGTCACCAACGGGCTAATTACTTATTAGTATATTATTAAATTAGA